ATCCCTGATCTGTTTGATATTCACACAAATTCAAACCCTGTGTTAACCTCCTACATGTAACAAAGTACATATACTTCATTTATGTAATTAAGTACAGTTTGTTTATATTGGTACTTTACTGTGGTAGATTTATTTGCAGGAACTTGTCACTTTATCCACTGATTAGATCGATTAATTAATTTATATGACAATGCAAGTGTTTTGAGTAGCATCATCTGCAGCATTCGTTGTTTATATGTCTGTATTCTTGTATTAGACAGAATACCCTTGCATTAGGGAATAGGCTACAATCTGCAAGCACTTGGTACATTTTATATTTATAGATAGTATATTTTTCTCGTATATTTTAAAGAAAGGACTTACATTCTTAATGTTTGAGCACTTCTGCCGTCACTAGTATTAGGTACAGCTCTGTAATACTCATATTGCTGCTAGACAGTCTAATGAGTTGCATTTGACAGACGAGTAAATATATGTGATGTGGTAATGAAGCTGGTTTTGATACTCATAAATGAAATAAACCATGTTCCACTGAGTCTGCTTGTTGTTTATGAGGCCAGATGGTCAAAATCTACATTCAGAGACAGCACGCACTCAGATTTCTTTTAAGCACTTTACCATCGACTGCAGATGATTGAATGGTCAGATAACATCTGTCATAACACAGCAATGACAGACGATGCATTTTTCTCTCTCTCCCTCATATGTAACTTGGTCTTAATATAATACATTGTGAGCCATCCCAACAGGCTGGATGTTCGCAGATGTGCTATGCAAAAAATGGTCAGAGATATGCTCTGCACAGTTGTCAGAGGGGGTTGGGTGTTGGTTAATATTTACAACAGCTGTGGTCGGGAATAGATGCAAAAAGCTGAATACATAAAAAACTCAAGAGACTTCAGGTGAAGATCCTCAAACTTGTTGATGACTGCCAAGCTGAGTGAATCACAGAGAGACGACCATCTGCAGTGGCGTCAGAGCGTAACAGTAGAGGAATAAAACGAAGAGATCTCTGCATTGATGAGCCTGTTCTGAGGTCAAAGTCCACATCTGACTGACAAACTGGAGAGAAAACAAAGCCCAGTCTTTACCTGAGCTGAAACACGATCAGACAGAAGAGCAGTGTGTCATCCTCCATCAGTCCAGGTGCCGGCTACACAGCACAAAAATAACTATGTATTGATTCATCAAAGCTGATGTTTATGACAGGGCTGCCCTCCATGTCTGTGTGAATCCACAACTGTAGCTGGGTGGGAGATGCTCAGGCCTCTTCCTTCGAGTGGTTCAATTTTCAGTGTGGTGCTAAAAATTATAAATGCTTTGATGGACTAGTGAGAAGACAAATTGCAGCATTTCCTGATTCATGAATGCATGAATTAACTTTCGGGGGGAGCTGGAGTCAATCCCAGCTGACACCGGATGAGAAGCAGGATACACTTTGCACAGGTCGAATTAACTTTTTGAGAATCATGAAGTAAATGTAAATTAACAATAAAGATAATTGATTAAATTAACCTGTATTTAAAAGTGAGGTGACACTCCATACGCACTGATCAAATTACAATGAGTGTCAAAAATCTGTTTAGTACGGTGTGCGAGATGAACATCATCAAAACACATGCACTGGAAAAAGTACACATGCAAATACAGAAAGATAAAATACATACAATACAATTACTTATATCTATTCGTACACTCCATTTCCATTGTGAAAGATGCAGAAAGCAGGAAGAAGTTGTTTGGATTGTTATATTAATAAAGAAAGCAAGTGTTCTTTACAGTTTATTGAACTTTGACCACCAGATTTAATACGTTTGTTTTTATGGCCTTAGTTTGTTTTTACACCCACATGTAAATGCATATTTGCTATAAATGTCTTTCTCACAGTTCTGTGCAATGGCCCAAGACTGAACACAGCAATTAACAACATTAAACGGACTGACGCGTGCATGTGACAAAACATGTATTTTATTCATTTATCTTAAAAAATTAAAATAAAGTGCTTTTTATGTACAATATAATAAAAACAACAGTCACAAATCTCAATGATACAAAAAATACAGTTGACAATGTTATTTGTACACAACAGATTAAAAAAAAAAAAAAGAAATCATGCAGGCAAGACCACATTTGTCTAATAGTATTTCAGTCAACTAAGCTTATGGTGTTCGGTATGCTGAGGCAAAGCTGTCGCTGTGTCTCACGGCTGAGCCCAGGTGGAGAGTTTGGAGCTGTGCTTGCATCCAACTGCAGTACAACACGGAGCAGCACAAATATTTACTACTTCTCTTGTGCTGGGTTTCTGTTGTACGGCCGTTTATACTAAACCCTGAACAGATGTCACAATGGATGGCCTACTTACGCCAGTTTAGGAAAATAGATTGCTGAAAATAAAATATACTTGGCTACATTCATGTCCAGTACAGTATGTTGCATTACAGAGGAGCCACTCAAAATGAAGCATCAGCCACTGACAATCTGCTTTTTAAAATAAAAAGCACTTCATTAATAAATATGCACAACGTTTTTGACACAGTATTTACCCTTTTTGCATTATTGACTATGAGGGTAAAATTGTATTATTACAATGAATATACAAGATCAAAAAGTAAGATTACTGTTAAATACTGAACTGTTCCGATAAGTTTTATTAATATGTGCATTCACATGACTTTTGACACAAGCCAAGACAGAATGGTACAAGATTTTGAGCAGCTCCCAGGTAAAGTTAATGATGGCTTAGGTGAAACTGTAAATCTATAGTAGACCCGTGCTGTGTTGTGGAGTTAAGAGCGCCCACGGAGGATTACAATCACGCCATTCACCACATGTCTGTTGGTGAGGTCACTGCTGGGTAGTATACAGTGTAGCACATGGCTAAAGGCAGAACTACGTGACGTCTAAAGGCATTTTATTCAAATGTTGTGAGGTTATCCATCAAGCATATCAAAGCAGGTTATTCAGCATCCAGAAACCTTCCATACATCTATTATCGTTACCGCTCATCCTTTAAGGGTCGTCAGGTGGGCTAGAGCGCATGACGCTCATATTTTGGAGATACCACAAAAGGCATGTTCGAGTTCCACATTGGTCACCTTTGACCCGTGATATACAAAAATCTACTGCTGTTTTATACGCAGCTCTGAGCCAAACCATTTGGCTGAGGACATTGACTTACACAAGTTTGAGAGTTTCAATTTTAAGGGGACAAAACTTTTACATTCAGATTAGTTGTTTCCCTCTGTTTCCTGTCTTTTTGCAAAACTAAGCCAAGCTAATCAAATTAGTTTCTAGTGGTAGCTTCATATATATGCATACTTGAGTGGCATCTATTATCTCATCTAACTCCCAAAAATATGGTGATAAAACCTATTTCCAACAGAACCACACTTTAATTCAGTATGACATAAATCAAAACATGTCTGTAGACCACCAGAAGTAGCTAACTAACTTAGTTAGCTTAGCGCAACGGCTTGAAATGGGTTAAAATGGCTAACCTGGCTCTGTCCGATGGTAACAATAATAAATAATACAAATGTTGTACTTTTAACGCCATTTTCCCCCAAATTGAACTTTTAAATCTGACTTGAAATTTTAGACTTTTAAATCTGCTTTGATGTGCTGGATGAAAATCCATCCAGGTGCTGAACGAACCACGTGGAGAGAAATGTGCTGCGTTCTGTGCAACAGTTGAAATGTTCGCTGGAGTAGGCAGTAAAGCATCTTTATGAAAAAACAAATATCAGCAGTGTTCACTCTCTATAGTTTCAAGACTATCTCTACAACACATCTTGCACAAGTCCCTTAAAAACACACAATATTACACACAGATACTTTATATACACAACAGAAACTAAATAAAAAAAGAAACACTGACCACTGTTACACAGTAAACTGTGCAATCACTTTGTCAACTTGTAGCACTTGTAGCGTTACATAGTGTCTCGTCATCTGCTCAGTGTGGGAAATAGCATAAATGCTGACTCTGTGTGATACTGGAGTATATACTGTAGGATTACTGATCGTGAACTGGTGATGTGTTCTAAGACATGTGGTGCCATATTGTCTCATGGTCACACAATGTTTTTTATTCAGATTTTCACAACACTAACTGTCTTCTACATCTTTGGAAAATTCTGCTTGATAACTCTCAGAAGTCTAAGCAATGTGGGAGAAAGAGTGTTTGCAATGGCTGCACTGGTCCCTGTGATATCTGATTTCTACAAAAAACATTTTCCTTAGCAGCCGCTGTGTCTTTCGGTCTCTCAGTAGTTGCATTTTTTAGAACATGCTCTGATTTTTACTAAAATGTGCAAACCTGTAAGAATTCAACACCCTGATTACTTGTGCTTTCACATTTATGACTTATTGACACTGGACTGTTGTGGATGCCATGTGTATGAAATGAAACCTTCTGCGGTGGAGGTTATTCTGAGTCGACTCTGTGCACTTTCATCACTTTACAGTTTCTAATAGCAAGTCTCTGAACTACAGCAACTCTGAGTGGGCTGCCTACACGGATTATATTGTTAGTGCTCACCGAGCTCAGTCTAGTCTGAAACTAGTTTCACCTGTATGTTTCAGTGTGAACACTAAGAAGGCAGATCAATCCTCTATGTACTAGCTGAAGGAAAAGTGGCAACCACATGGTCCTTAGGCCCCAGACCTGATTTTACATGAAGGGCAATCATTTTCCCCAAACACAGTTCAAAAATGAGCTAACAGTCTTCAACAGATTTCAACTTCACATTTCATACAGTATTGGTGCCACTTAACTTTTGTGAGACCCAACTCCCGTTCCATCGTCTCTCCGACAGTGATCAACGGTAACACATGAGATGGGAATGGTTATAACAGAATGGCACTATTGCGTCGAGATAAGACAATCAAGTTATTTAGTTGGTATTTTTTTGGCACAGTGCACATGATGATTTCGGTGCTGCCCTGAACATGGTAGAGGTGTGGATGCACCCTCCCTGCCTTTTTTTTTTTTTTTTTTTTTTGAAATGTCAAGTCTCTTTTCTGTGTCTCTTATTAACTCATCGTTGGCACCTGCAGGTCAATACTGAAGAACAGGGCTGTCTCACATGAGCAGCGATGGTCCATGGTGCAGTTTTGTATCAGTGAGACAAGCCGCGTTTGATCAAGATGAATCCAGGAGGTACACGTCCGTTTTTAGGCCCCGGAGCATCACATCTGCTCACATTTCTTTGATGATCTTTCTTAAAAGTCCTTGTTCCAACAGACTCTTTTTAGCCAAGGTGCTGTAGTTTTCTCCTGGTCTGCCTCGTCTTTCATCACCTCACACAGTCGTGACATTTATTCAAGAGGGACAAATGTGCGTCTGACTTGCTTCCATAGTGTGTGGATCATAATGAATGTGCTCTACTCTCCTGAACCTGACCTCTTCGTCTCTGTGTAGCTGTAGCGTGGTTTGAGTGGGCATAATAACAGTGTGTATGGCAGCCGTGTGCAGTTATACATACTCATAAAGAACTGGACAACATATCTATAGTTATAATTTATTGTCTATTGTTTTTATTACAACATGTGATGGACATCAACTAGATAATTTATTGTTGGATCGTATGATCTTATCTAAAGAGATATTGTGATAAATATTGATTTGGAGAAGAGTTTGTTTCGTTATGTCTTCCCTAATATTGCCCAGCCCTACTCTCGCACACACGCTGTTAGTGGCCATGACATGGACTAAAAATAAAGACTGTTATTTGAACTATTCTTAGCAGCTGCCACGTTTAGTGATCCTGGTTGAAACCGGATTGTTGCGCTGCTTCCTTCTCTGGCCTCGTGCGGGAAACCAGACTGATCTCTGGATTCTGGAGTGGAAATGATTAAAAGAAATGACCTCCGCGCATTATCACAGAACAAAGATGGCTAAAATAAAAAGATGTGCTGTGATGTTGGAGGATGTCAGCATCTCCTCTCCTTCGCTCAGTGGCCCGAATCTTTTGCGGAGATACAGGGCGGCATCTTTTAGCTTGTACTGTGCTCTCATACGATAGAGTCTTTTATCTCTGAGCCGAGCCTCACTCTGGGCCGAGGGCAGGTCGGGGAGTATTCCACGTGGCTCTCCTTCAGGTTGAGCGGCCGCCGGTCGGAGGATTCAGAGAAGCTCTTGCTGTTATCTGGTGAGGACTCGTGTGTGGGCGTGCTGCAGATGTAGTTGTCATTTAACGTCTGGTAGCCCTTGTGATCTGAGGTGGAAACGGGGATTGGGTTACCGTTGAGCGGTAAGCTCTCTGCAGGCTTTCCCACTATTCTCGGCTTCTTCTGCTGCATGTTGGGACACTCGCCCTGCTTCAGCATGGACTTCATGTGATCGCGGTTCCTGTAGATGATGAACAAGGAGAACACCACGAGGGAGAACGCCAGCAGGGCGCACACCACAATCAGCTCATTCCAGTACGTCTTCGTGTGGACTTGCTCAGAGGGAGACATGCCAGGCAGGATGATGCTCTCCTGCTTAATGTGTGGCGTGCGAGAATGACCAATTAGAGTGGTGCTCTCCAGACGGGGCTCGGCCCTCACACAGAAGTTAGCCAGCAGCTGACGAAATCCCTCCTCCTCTGACCAGCACTCGTAGGTCTCCATCCTGTCGCCCTGAGCCACCACGACCAGGTTTCCCTCGGGAGTGGCATAGACGAACTGGCTGGCACTGTCACTGTAACGCCACCTCCTCTGTGCCAGGTTGGATCTCAGCTTACAGGGGAGGACCCTGAACGTGTTGGCTGGGATCGTAATTAACTGGCAATGGGAGCCACCTATAAATACATATCAATAAAAAGAGAAAAATGATACTCAAAAACACATTGAATCAATATTACACTGAATAAGTCTTAAAGGAATAGTTCATAATTATGAGAAGACGGATCCTGGCTGTGGCTTCATAATTAATTTATGCTGTTTTCAGACATGAACTCAAGACAATGTCCGCACAGTGGGGTCTGGTCTTTCTTTCCAAATATCCACAATGCAGCAGGAGATTCTCCGCTGCGACTTGTACAGGAGTGTTCAGGTGAGGGGTGGGGCAGCAGGCAGGTGGCGGGCGTATAAATGAGTATAAATTCTGCTATGGAGATCATGTTTTTGTGAAGCACATGACTCCAGTGTCAGCCCTTATCACCAAAAGCTCTCAAATCTGCATCTTTGTCAGCGCTTCATTTCATTCTGAGAAATTTGTATTGTTTTTAGTTTTTTTGTTTTCAGTTTCATGTCCGACACGCTTTAGGGATGTCGCAATCGTGCCCACTAAGTCGCATTAAATCATCCAGAGAATCTCCTGCTGTGTTCTCACTCGGACATTATCTGGAGTTTTTACTGAGGCGCTGGCAGGAGAAACTCCTGAAAATGTCCGGACAATCGGATTCTTGCATACAGCACCTTCTAAGAATTCCAGGATATTATAAAAACAGCTACACACACTGATTAGAATGACGAGGGTGGTATTGACCTTCTCATCAACTGGAACTCTTTAAATCTTCTGCATAATTTCCCAAAATGCTGAAATAATATTCCTTTTAAAGTTTTGGTCAATAAGTTACTTGTGATTGATGAATTTATAATTTCATTGGATGAGTAACATCCCTGAGTAGCTCAGTGTTACTTTCCCACAGAATCTGGGGCCATCAGACAAATCAGTGACAGTGTACAACAGCTCTGACGTTGAGGCGACGAACAACATGTGATCGAAAGACGGCTGCACAAAGAGAACACACACTCACGAGTGGCCGGTGGTCTGGCAGATCTGACGCTGGGGAACGTCTTGTTACAAATGGCTGAGGTGTCGGCCTCCTCCACATCCTGCTGCCAGTGGCTGAGGCCGCGCATAGCAAACAAAACAACAGGTTGACAGTTAGCAGCTGTAATGAGAGGAGCCGTGTGTGGATGCTCTCGTTTTACTCTCTCTCTGTTATTAGGAGTACAGCTTCATCACTATGACTCAGACAACTGTCCACTTGTTGAAGCACATGACTATGAGTGCTGCATGTTGACTGAATGTGTTTGTTTGGGTGATTGTTCACAGAAAAACACATTTCAAAAAACATTCTTGACATATTTTTAATTTCCATTCATTGTGTTTGTTCTTATATTTCCCCTCTATAATTATCTTGTTCAGTTTTCTGTTTGTTCTGTTTTTAGCCATGTTAGCAGGTTTGCTCTGTTATTGCCTCTTGGTTGGTTAACCACTTTCCTCAAAAATGAAATATGTCAATATCTATTGGATGGATTTCCTCAAAATGTGCTGCCAATGTTCATTTAAAATTAATTGTAATTATTCCCTGAATTTTCTTCTAGTAGACTGTAGACCTTTAGAACCTTGTTTTTGTGCTTTTAAAAAAAATGTCTTTCTTAATTTAACTTGTATTTGTTCAGATTTGGGAGTTATGAGTTTAGATTTCTTTTTTTAACTTGCCATCTGGTGAAAATTGAATGAACTGTTTCACTTTGCCTATTTCTTTTTTTACTGTGATATCATTATGGTTTTACATCCAAAATGAAAATCCTCGTCAATCAAACATTATATCGACTGAGGTGATCACTACAAGCTATCCTGCGAGCTGCTTTTCTTCTTTTTCTTCTTCTTTTGTTTAAAGCCGTCTTAAATTCTACAATTTGTCCAAAGGTCCAAATATGAAAACAACAGCAAACAATGAGAACGATGGTTCGTTTCATCCGGACAGAGACCACCTATTTTAAGTCTGCCTATAGTTGGTCCATAGGTCTGAGGCACTTAGACACCTGTTAAAGACTCAAGTGAAAAGTCTGAATGTCCAGCCCAAACAAGGTAGTTGTGAAAGCTCCAAAAATGAAAAAATACAGATGTAAGAACTGAGCTGTGGTACTAACAAATCAAAAGTGGGCGTTTTAAAAATGAGGGTTTCAAACATTGCCCCTGTGTTTCAGGTTATTTGTATGTGAGCTTGTACCTGTCAGGTGGAGCCATCCTAACGTCCCGACACAGCCGCCCTGTCCAGGCGCAGTACGGGTCTCTGGACAACACACACTCTCCACAGCTGACGTAGTTGGAGCAGTTGGCCACAGGAACCTCCACCAGCCCAGAATAGGAGGAAACAAACAACAGACCCTGCAGATGAGAAAACACCACGTGTCAGACGATGAGCGAGTCAAACTTCTCTTCAGAGAGGTGAATCCGGCGCAGAAGAGATCCTCTGCTTTCAGTTTTGGTTGTTTGGTTCCAAAAAGAGAGACCATGCTAAAACAATTACTGAAGATGAACAGAGCAATATAACCCAAACAAAGGACTAACTCCGACCAGCTGAGTAATTGGACTGTGGGATTGCGGTCAGAACACATGGCGACCATGTTCATGATAGTTGCTGCAAAGCTCAGTCATAAATACAGTACATTGTATTTGTGTTGTTTTTATCTCTTTTTAGGTCTTCATGTGTCGCATACATACACTTCCAGCATGACTGTAACGTTATTATAACGGACACGCTGTGCACCCACAAGTTCCCACAAGCACAGTCTATATTTAGCCCGTCTTATTTTCCCAGAATTAGATGGACATGATGTGGATTCTGTCTCAGTCCTTTACATCCCTATTTGGAGTGAGGAATATACTCACTGCAAGTATCTCAGACTTTATTAGAATTACATAATCTTAGATAAGATTGCAGTTTGGCCCGGGGAGTGGCTATTATGTAATAAAGAGTAAAAAGGTAATGAAATGTAGCTTTGTGTAAAATGCCAGAGACAACCATAAACCCAGTTCCAGGCAGTGCTGTAACTCACAGGGAAAACTCGGTGGAATGGCCCCCGAGGAAAGAAAATGTCTGGAGCCACTTTCTACTCTGGTGAATCCTAAACTTGAATTTGATCACAAACACAAACTAGTACAACAGCATTCATTATAGATGTGTGTTAAATTGTATTTGACCTAGATTCATAAAGTGGTGATAAAATTGTAATTCACCCTCTGAGGATCCAGTTCGATGTGTTGCACAGGCTGAGGCTCAGGAAACAGAATCAGCTCCTCTATGATGTGCATCTTATCGTTTGCGTTGATGGCCTTATGGAGCTTTCCATCATCTGGAACGCAGAGAAAATAAGAGTAAGAGACTTCAATTGAAGCCAGGGGACAGTTTTGGAAGAAAAGAAGCAACGTGTGATGTTTTTAAAATCACAACTCAAACCCACACAAGTGTCGTAGCAGGAAAATACTGTATCTTATTTTTCCTCTTTTACCTAAAGATAAAGGAAGCTGGGTAATAATCTGTACCTGTTCCAATGAAGAGCACGTCGTAAGCCCTCTCCATGCCCTGGATCTTGTGCACGGCGATCTGCGTGTAGCGCACGCTGCGTTTCAGCAGCAGGGGGGCGCTGCGGATCACGCTGTCCATCAGGAAGTGGTCCTTGACAAAGTTGAGCACTTTATCGGGCATGTGCAAAGACGACTGGATGCCCATTTGCCTGGCGTGGTTCGTCACACACTGTATGGGAGCAAATTACAAATGACATTTTTTTTTATTTATGAGGTGATGACCTATGACCTAGGACTCAGGTGTTTGATTCAGGTGTTTTAAGAACGTAACACTCCTGTTTGGCTGATATGAAAAGTTTTAACTGTGGTTTAAATAAATATCTACTAGTTCTGAGGAATTTGTTTTGCTCCAGGAACTTTCAACGAGCTTCTGCTATTAAAGTTCTGTTGTAACTGGCAAAGGAACTAAAAGAAGAGCATCTGCTTTCCATGAAGCTCCGGTCTACAGCTTCACCTGGATGTTTGGTTGCAGCCTGTAACATATGTATGTGATAATAAAGTAGATATCAGGGATGGTAATCTTTAAAAACGTGTTGTTACTTTATCTCGAAAGAACAGCTGCACAGATTTTAAAACCAGAGCAAGTAGAAGTGCACGGTTTGTCACAGGATATTGCCTTCAGTACTCACCGCCCCGGGCCGTGGTTCTGGCACAGGATGGTTGTATGTGTACCACTGCTGTGTCTCCCTGTTGACCTCTCGGTAGCGCCCGCTGAACGCTCTCTCCACTTGAGCCATGGTGAAGGCGCACACCGCTGAGCTGCCCGAGGCTCCTTTATACCTGCGAACAAAGGAAACATTTATATTGTTTTTCTTGTTCAAGATTGTGTGAAAAGCGTATATTTCTGCTGTGAAAATGGACCGTGACGTGACACTGCAGACGACAAAGCTGCGTGTTGTGACTCTGAAAGCTTTAGTCTCACATTTAGAAACACTTTCTCACAGCATTGTACAGTTCTCTCAGTCCATCCTCCCTGCATCTGTTGTTTTTCTCACTGGAGAACATCTGTAGTGTGTACTCGAATGATTTCCACATAAAAGTCTTTATTTTGTTGATACATTAATTAGACAATGGGGTTGCACAAGCTTGTTTTAGTGCTTAAGCTCATTGCAGCTGCTCTAAATTCAGGGGAGCAGAGACAGAAACGGCAGCTTGCCCAGTTTGAGAGCAGACATTAAATAAAAACTGCACTGGGGCTTAAACATAAACTGTACAGGTGCCATATATCAGGCAGATTCAAGTGGCTGTACGTCTCAGTCCCTCCGTTTCTCTTACCACTGTGAGGTGAAGACGCCGTAGAAGACGGTGCTCTCCCAGCTGTCACCAACAGGCTTCAGGACGAACATGTCCTGGATGATGTTGAAGGGGAAGCCGTCGTCGGGGAGGGAGCACAGGAGCTGGGCCTTCAGGAATGTGGTCCATTTCTTCTGCAGCACCCTCTCGCCCCCCTTATCACCCTGCCAACAACATGTTAGAAAAGGTTACAGGTGATTCATTTATCTGTCTTATTATGACAAGTACTCCCAGCGTTTCTGTTTAGCTGAGGCCATTCAGGCTGATGAACGATAAGGATCCACTGATGGAAGTGGAAGGAGGGTGCAGAGGAGCTGTCCGACTCCCAGGCAGGAGGCGCCACAGGAGAAATTGAAATTTTATTCCACTTTGGCTGCAATGTATTTTTCATGTGGCTGTGTATGGAGTTTCTGAGAGCTGGACATACTCATTTATAGTTTAGATTTGATACGTCTGCTCTCAGATTGCCGATGACACCAAGGGTTAGAGTACAAGCAGTCTGACAGAGCATAAATATGATGGTTACACAACTGTTCCTGGACACTCTCTCTTCTCTCCCCTCTTTACCACCCACCTCCTCTCTTCCCCATTTTTCTCTGCTCACTCCAACCGGTCGAGTCAGATGTCCGCCCACACTGGGTCTGGTTCTGCCTGAGGTTTCTTCCAGCTAATGAGGTAGTTTTTTCTCTCCAAAGTCACCAAAGTGCTGCTCATTGTGGGACCTGTTGATTTCTCTATACATTTTTTGCAATGAATTTTGTGAAGATCTTGTAACCTTGTTTAGATCAATTCTATGTAAATAAAGTAATTATTATTATTGTTATTATTATAAGTAAGTAAGTAAGAGCCCCTCTGTATTTCAAATTAAGCTGCTAGAATGGAAAGCTAGGGGCAAGCTAACCAGACAGCTACTGACTTTCGCATGGGCAACATACTAATTCAAAACACACATGGAGGGTATCTTAAGAAATCTAAAAACTTTAAAACTGATATTTTATAGTTTCACAAAAATCTAAAAATTCAAAATATTGACATAACATCGGAATTTTTTAATTTTATTAAACGTAGGGTAGGTAATTTTTTTTCTGAAAATTGAATTTGTTGAAATCCTCTTCACGTCCTGATAGCTATTAATAAATAATTTAAAAAAAAAGAAAGAACAGAAAATCATTTTATTTGGACTGAATTAAATGTCTGTCACTAACCAACCTGCCCGCCTGCGTGCACCATAGACTGTATATAAAGAGGCATGCACCACTGAAGCAAAGACGATAGCCAGAAGTTAGTGAGCGAATCACTTGGGAGTGTAGCACTGACGAGGGGACTGATGGGAGGGGCTATGTGCATTACATGCTTTTAGTTTCCACATCACACCTGCACACTTGTGCATCATTTGGGACAGAACCCACTGAACGTCCAAAAAAGTTTCAATAAGCAAAACACAGTTTTGAGTTTAAATGATGCAATCTTCTAACCTGCAGTACTCTGTGTGCTTGTGTTGTATCACAGCTGTGATCCCGCCCTTTTATCCAGAGGGAGGTCAAACAAGGGAATCTAAATGAGGTCACTGTGACTGTCGTGACCTCTTTCTTTCTTTCTAAAAAAAAAATCAAAGCCAACTGGACTTTGTGCTGAAATACTTTCTTGTGATGTATCATATCTGTGGTAGATTTAGGAATGACAAATGGTATTTCAAAATTAAATGTTAAGGCCAAAAAGACTCCCCACATAACAAAAGTGTTAGCACAAAATGTCAGTTTCTTTTTGAAGGCGAGGGAGGTGGTGAAATGGAAAACAAACATTTTAAGCCGTCACAAGATGCTAACATAAACAGTTATCAGAGGCTTTTGCTATGACTGGCAATTATCAAAAAGCTTGTGAACACACAGCAGAAGAAACTCCTCCCACAAGCGGCTCGCAAGCTGCAGCAGCTGGACGAGGAGGAGGAGGATGAAGAGCAGGACCAAAACAAGTGGCCTCGCCCAATCTCTAGACAGTTCTTCTGCCTGAAATCCAAACTATCCCAGAACGACTCCTACACTTCAGCACAGAGGAGTGAATCAGCCTTGAGGAGATAAGAAGATGCAAAACTGTAACTTCCTCTGTTTCCTCCTCTGTCGTACAACACAAACAATCAGCTCGCTCTCCGTCGAGGTGAAAACCTCGCGGGACTGATGTTGGGCCTGGCAGCCAATTACAAGGCTGTGCTAGTAGCCTGTCCACATAATGAAGATACCACATTCCTGCTCTCTCAGCTGTCCACCGCCATCGATGTTGTGCTCCTCTGCACAGCTCGTACTTTCAATCGTATCAGACCACTCCCCCATTTCCCTCTCCAAAAATATGCCTGATCCTTTTTTAGCTGTCGTGCATTGCTCTCTAACATCTTTATCTTTTCAGACTCCTCACATTTGTCAACCTGACAACATAAAGAAGAAGAAGTTAAGAAATTTGTGCCACTCAATGCTCATAATCCGCCTGCTTTCCACAGTCGCCCAGAGTGCACACACCTGAATAAACAATGGAAAGAGGGAGTGGAGCGAGGGAGGACGAGCAGATTGGAAAGGGGGGAGAAAAACAACAACTCAGAAGCAGCGTTACTTGGCAAACACAAGTAAAACAGTAGTTAGAACTATATAAAAAACCCTGACGAGACTTTCATCTTATCTTATCTTACGAGAAACATGCTGTCTTCATATGGTGGCAACATGTCTGCCCAGATTAACCAAAAATGTTTCAAATGTTAAAATCAAAACAAGTTAAACAAACCTGTGGGCCTGGTACAGAGAGGGAAGGGGGAGTGCATGTTTGCAGTCCGTCCACAGGAGAGTGTTACTGAGTCAGCTGATGGGGAAAGGCCTTCATGCCTGTGTTACTGAACTCTAATCTGAGGTAGTACTCTCTGCGGTAGTACACACTGAGTCCGAAATACAGAGTAAACATGGTGATTGTTTTTGATGCAAGTCTGCAGTAAATCAGAGGCTGGTTCAACACAGATATTTGTCTATTAGGGCCAGTTATAATGATGCTACTGGATTACAGTGTAATGCAGAGGTGGGGCCGGGACAGTGAGGTGATGGGAACAGGCGCACACAGGTGTTTTGAAAACAGCAGGACTTTGATTATTGAAGTTTGAGCCACTGATGTGGTTCGATCACAAACACAGAAGAAACAGCCGTGACTGTGATATGCAGCTTCAAACCCCTGATTACTGGAATTACCTTCAAAGTGATGTTTTCATTGGTGTGTTTCATCTAAATGGTATGAATTGTTGTTTTCTTTACCATAGAATGGGCTCTTTATATCTAAAACCCTTTTATTTACATGGAGGGGGTCCTCTCTGTGCAGGCCGCCATGTTTTTTTACTGTCGTCCAAACTGGACAAACTAAAACCTTTGAGTTTTCATGACAACCGAAGTTCTACAGACTGAACCTTTAAATAACAAACTTAGATTAGTTTGACATTCTAAGGATTTCCTTATCTCTCATGGGCATTTCACATAACATCTAGAATTCTGCTCAGTAGTCATTAAAAGATCCCCCTCAAAACTCAAGACTTTGCATGAGAACAAGCAAAGTTATATGGTTTCTTCAGTATAAAAGGAATCCAGTGATACATATCTGGACCTGTTCCGTTGTCTCAAATCGTCTTTATCCTCACTGTGTCAGACTCACAAAAATAAAGTCTTATGGAAACAAAAATAAAGATTAGCTTGTTTTAAGCCTGTAAAGTTCATGCATCCATCCTTCCCCCAAAACAACTCGGAACTAAGATCCATGTTTCCAAGGTAACAATCAATGACAGCTGATTTAGATTTTTTCATTTCAAGTTTTTTGTATTTTATATTTAAAGTTTGCATTTAAATTTCTATTTAAATATGTGTGGCTTGATGTGGTTTCTTATTTAACCAAAAAATATTTTACCCAGAATTCATGGCAAGTCCTAGGTCCTACTTTGAGATGCCGCTAATTGTTGAACTTGACCTCTTTGTGCATTAGATGAATTTAGGATTCATCAATCTTAAGTTTGACTCTTAGCAGAACTAAACATTAATCCTAATAAAACCAGCCTCAGATCTGTAGAGCATCTGTTCTTCACTCATAACAAACCAATGTGAGTTTTGTACGAAGTTACAGGACGTTACTTTGCAAAGAGTTAAAAACAATTCATTTCTTTTAGTGTTTTTTGGACGGACGGTGGAATTCCTATGTGTCGTCTTCACATAAGGATTTGTTCATGTCCTTAAGTGTTTACCCAGTGAGCTGGAGAATGAACCACCTGCAGCACAACTGTCCTGACACAGAGCAGCATGTGAAAAGACAAGAAACAGTGCGGCTGCATTCCGGAAAATAAAGACGCTTTTCTAAAGCAGAGCAAACCATTCTTCTGTCTCACAGTTCATCTGCAGCCGGATGCCACAGACCGGGGGCCTTTCTGTCACTGATTTCCATATATAGAACGCCGGCTGCGAGAGGTGTCACAGCACTGAGTGCCAGAGCCGAGCAGGACCAAGTCATTAAGATGTCACTTAAGATTACATGCTGTCCCCATGATTACTCGCATTACTGCCTCCATGAACAAGAGGCATAAGTCGGGGGGGGATGCTGAGTGCATGTATATCAGGCAGCTTCATAGCCGTTTAATTGATCAGATGACAGGTGAGAAAAGATAAAGTCTGCACTTGATTATTCAGGGTGATCGACTAAATTCTGGAGGAGGACGAGGAGGAAGAATGACGTCAACAGTTTAATTATTCGAGTGCCTCCCGCAGTTTGCACGCTTTACCTGAAGCAAAAAGTAGAAAAGCGGGAGACTCATTTCATATTGCTGCGAAGCACCCTTGAATACTAATAAAGCTCAAAGCGCTGCTCGAGAAAAGGCGCAGAGCTGGAGGGACGGACGAGTGCAGCTGACATTGTGAGGGAGATGGAGGGAGAGGGGGAGATGACACTGCAGAGAAGAGGGAGAGAGGGAGGGAAAGAGGGTGATTCAGGCGAGGGGAAACCAAATCTGTCGAAAACATGTTTGTACAGTCAAACAGAAAAAAAGGCTTTCATGCACCAGTGACAGATTTCCATTGCGTCTCCTCAGAGATGATGTGCAGTTAGACGTTACCAAACGTGCTCTGACACGGCAGCATCTTTTAAAAGGTAATTGTATCAGGATTAGAGAGAGAGAGAGGACTTGAGCCCTGCTCGGCCTTTTACTTTTGCTTGGCCGTCTTGCTTAACAACCCCGCCCCAATCCCGGTTGACTAACCTTACACACGCGAGCGATCCTCGACACAATGGTGTTGTCAAAGAAGTCGAATTCTTTGCCCGCCTCGCTGAAGAAGAAGTAAATTTTGTCGTCGTCACCCACAGGGTTGCCCGCTGGCTGGCTCTCCTCGATGTAAGCTGACCCCACAAAGTTGGGATCTGTCATGAACAGAAAAACACAAAAAGGATACATGTTGGACTTTTATCATTGTTCACATTGTTCTGTTCACAACAGCACAGGAATCTCAGGAGCGTTCAGGTGCAGCAGGCAGAGGCTGCAGAGATCACAGGCTTTTGTCTGTGTCTTCTACGTGTATGACACTGCTTTCTCATGCGGAGATATTTGTTTTGTTTTTGTATTTTCATTTTTGCTTTGAGTGTAAAAAGCATCATCAACACACACACATGCACTCCTGCTGTGTTCTTAAATGGGCTCCTCCAGACATTCTGCAGACTGATACTAGGGGGCGGGGCGGAGAAACTCAGCAGAAAGTCCACAGGCACTTACTCTGTCATTACCTTTGTAACATAGAGCCCCTTCGGAGAATGTCCGGAGTTCGATGTGGAGAGAACTAAAAACTCTCAGTATCACTGATTTTTTTATTTAACATCTTTATCAATATATCTTTGATTTCCAAAAAACAATAAATCTAGTTCTTTTGATATTTAAGGACAAGTTTTAAGATTTTTCAGCTTCTTCTCGTCAGCGCACAGAAGTTCCTTTAAATTTTTCCCAAAGCAAAACAACTCGTATCGTCGGCAAAAATGAGACATATTGCCAGGAAACTTTTTCTACAACAGCTCCACTGCTTTTCCTCAGTGCATCACTGAAGAGAATTTCGGAGAGAGTTCGTCTGGGTTTCTGCAGGAGAGCTGTGTCATGCAGTCCTGGCAGAGAAGAGCGGGCAGCGTCCTCTATAATTGTACTCAGATGTCTCATCAGCAGCACTCTGCTTGAATTACACAGAGATCAAAAAGACAAGAGAGGTCTTAATTGTGCGCAACGTGCATCTTACTCTGGCAGAACCAGTGGCAGCCGGTTGAGGCCGTTTTGATGTGCATGTGCGGCGAGTGATAGGGCTGAGCTCACGCAACCTCAGAGACCTCATCTCCGCTGATGGGCAGCACGTGTTAGCGACTGTGCCGTGCTAATAACGGCTACTTTTTGGAGCTTATCTTCTTTGTAGCGTACATGATGGAGGAAAAAATCTGATGGGATAAATGGCATTTACCTTGCAGCCATTTCAAAGAGTTTTCAGTCTTCAGTGCCGTTCCCTGACCCAGACTCTTGTAAATGACTGGTTCGTTCCCTTGGAAGTTGCTGACAGTCCCAGTGTACAATTCACCATCTGGAAGAAAACAAAAGTGGAAGACGACAAGTTTTAATTATGAACTTGATTTGCCATTAATTAAACACGATAAATTATGAAGAAATCATGAGCTGTGAGCCTTTTTAAATAAGTCCAGAGAGAGATCTGCAAATCATCTCCTTCACTCATATCCAGCTCCATTATTTACTAATTGCTTGTTAAGGAAGTTGAAAACAAACAAGAGTCTGTTGGTGCTTGGCTACTTATCAGACGTCAGCATTAGCAGGCAGATCATGACTCATTACTGAATCAAAGACGCAGGAAGCGTCTGAGCAGCTGAGCCTGTTTTCAGAGTCTCCTCCCAGATGGAAGCGAGTCACAACAACATTCTGTTTGATTTTTCATGAGTGACAGAAAGAAAGACGAAAGTTCACATATGACAACATACCAACGATGATGGCAGTGGACTTGTACTCTGGATTAAAGGGGCAGCGACTGCGCCCATCTTCCATCACGACCTCGCCCACTTCGTCTCTTTCTAGCGTGAACGTTGACGTGTTCTGGAGACAGACACAAATAGCAAACGTCCCTCAGGCACAGTCCAATAAAATTCTGCTCATAGTAAAGGGTGAGCTTAGGTGAGCTCGGTGACGTCGAGCTCATTCAGTAATTTACAGATTGCACAGAGAATACTGAGACTTTCTGAGTCCAGTCATTTTACACAGTGTGTCTGATTAATTAACATTTTTATACAGTATAGACAATTCTGTTGATTCTTTAAACAACAAATCCCACAAAAAGAGAACAATCATAAATGAACTGATCTTTATTCCTATTTGTTATAGAGCTATGAGCTATATAGAACTATGAACACAGCTAAGGTTTATTCTGTTCTGTTGTCACAAATTTTCCATAATGAGCATTCATCTCGTCCTCAAAAAAGTCGTTGAATATTTACTACGGGTTTAGTCAGTTTTACTAAAAACTACACAATGTTGGTTTTATTCTTGCCATGGCATTTGTTGGCAAGAAGTTAAAAGCTAGAATACGCAAATGTCGTGGGTCAAAGTTAAACAAACTCCACACGAAGTGAAGTGAGCGTTATATTCGTCTCCTCGCTTATAGAGATTGAACCAGACCCTGACAGGGACTAATCAATACATTCATTTTCTTTTCAGAAGGTCTCACTTCTGGAGGATTGTGTGGTTTTCACAGTAAGAAAAGAGTCACTCATAGTATTTTACTGACAATATGGTTTCAGACTTTGTCTATTAAGAGATCAGAAAACACACTTTAGGTATTTTGAGTACGTATAGCTCATTCGTATCCATTCATGTGGTATAGTTTTTCATTGTCTACACCAGGCATGACTACAGTAGATGTGTCAGTCAACAGTTTAAGGTCTGTTTGGCTCCGGTGGAAAAATACCTCAAAGTGACATTGGTAATTTCAGGGTTGGGCTTTTTAACAGAAATCCTGCATCACAAACACTGGACAGAGTTCAACAGATGTTTTTATCAAACAGGCAGGGAGGGGAAGGGAAATAGGGTTGAATTATGGCAAGTTTGGGTGACGTCTTTGTTTGACCAATTGCCCAAAACCCAAATTCAAATGACAAAAACATAAAAACAGAGAAAAACAATATAACCACACATTTGAGACATTTGAAACCAGCATCACATATTATGGAACTTGACACATTCATTGTAAACTTTATCTTCAAATCTGTCTCCTGCAGTTTAGTGGAAGTCATTGGAATGAAAATCCAAAAACAGAACACTACAGAACCTCCCGAGTTAAACTGAAGATATTATTACTTTTTAACAATGTGAGTTCAACAACAGTTCAACATCTTCGAGGTGGATGTATCGTTTAACAACGTCAAGCATGCGTGGATGTACATCGTTTGAATCGGACGCACCTCTGTTCATACGTAGAGGCACCACAAATCATCCTTGAGTAGATTTTAAATGAAAACTTTACCTCCTTGGTGGAGGTGATGAAGCATTTCTATGTACCATATGGAAATATGAGTAAAAAGTGCCTCCGTCGCCTGGAGAAACTTCCCATGCTTCATCAGTGTTGTTTTACTCAGAGCTTGTTTTAACTTGTGTCTGTATTTCTGATTGTTTAGCGGATCCTCTTTGCAGCAGTGTCTTGTTTCACTGCCTGTAAAACCAGTTGTTAAACCCCAACACTGAGAACAGCTATAAAAATAAAACATTTATTAATGTTAATATTATGCATCTCTGAGAGTGTCTGGCAGTGAGCTCACTCTCAGTGACACAGGCACACGCACACGCACACACACACACACACACACACACACACACACACACACACACACACACACACACACAGAGTCCTGGGCTCTGTCTCCGTGATGAGTGTTGATCCGGACTGACTGGGCGCAGACTTGCTTGGAATCTCGGTTCAGGGCCTTAAGTTCCTGCCAAGTCATCTTCAGTGTGAGACGTGCCGTGTTTTTCTTTCCCTCTGACGTCAAACAGGAGAGTTTACTGCCCTGCTTTAAGAACTGAGCTGTCACCAGGCTCCACTGCCCCCCCTCTATCACTGAAATCAATGTCATCCTGCTGCTGCTTTGCGCTCGCTCCACATGTACTCCTCTGCTAGATAAACAGATCTACTGCTTCCCTCTTTGCTGGAAACCACACATCTCATGTACCCCCTGTTGACTTGTCCGGCTAAAGTGTCTCAGCAGGGTTTGGTTACGCTCGAATAACGACAGATCCAATACTGACTTGGTTATATATTGGATAAAAGAGTTTGGTTCATACAGAAATGTAAAAGAAGATTTAATTCCCTTATGGAATGGAGATTGAGTTTTTCAATGTCAGGATAAATTGGCTTTACTTACTATGTAGGTGCAGATCGGACTGAAAGCAAAGGTGCCACACACATAGAGATGAGTGCTGTTCAGCCGAAGAAGAATTTTGATGTAATTGAAGCAATCAGTCTGGATGGGGAACAAATGGAGAAATAGAGAGAGAGAGACAATGAGTTCTTTGAATCCACAAAAGTCTTTACAGCTGAATGAGATGTTTTCTGAAGAGCTCCTTAAAATCTTCTCCTGAAACACTGAGCAAACCTGCGAGAGCACAAATACTTCAGAAACTGTTACGATAGAAAGAAAAATATTCCCTTTTCTCAGACACTGCTGGGTAAACCTCCCAGCACCACACAGCGGTTGCCTGGTGAGCTCTCTGTAATGCAGATCGGAGCGGTACACTGCAGAACACAGATTACAGAGGCTTGTCGCCCAGGGATACAACAGCTGGCATGACAACAAGGCAACAGACATGCAAAGAGAAAGAAGGTGTGCAAAAAAAAAAAGAGCAATTCCCTGGCGAGCCTGTACACACTCAACAAATCTATTTGTAACTGGTGTAAAAGGTTTGTAGACATTAAACTCGATGCCCATTTTATCCTCCCACAGTCAGTTAGGAGGAGAATACAAGGGAAGAGCAAACACGCTCAACAAGAAAATCCAGGCTTTTCTTTGAGATTTTGTGTTTTTAAAGTTACTTTCAAAAAGTTTTTGGGGAGGTGAAGTCACTCACCTCCAGGTTCTTCCCTTTGAAGCTGCACTCCTCTCTCTTTCCAGCAGGAGTGCCCCACGTCAGCTGAGGATGAAACAGAAACGCTGAATAAGTCATGTGAAAATCAGGGAAGCACGCTGACTCTGCCGTTCTTCAAGAAGACTGACAACCGTTTCTTTAACACTGAAGTGTAAACAATGAAGTCGTGTATGCAGCAGATCAAAAACTCAAAAACCTAAATTATTTTAATGGACAAACAACAAAGAATCGCAGCCTGTTGAGATTTTGCGTTATACAAGTATTTAACTCTGAATATTTCTATGTACAGCCCACATCATTAAAGCTAGGCTTGTTAATCCTGGGAAAGCTAGAAAGAGCAGGCCAAATGGTCGTGTTTCTTTTAGTCCTGTGAGACACATAGACACCAGCTCTTTTCTTTCTTTTTTCAGACGACTTTAATTATTGACGTCTATCGAAACAAAGAGGATTTCAACAAATAATATAAAAAGTGTTGTTGCTTAAATGAGTCTCTTAGCATCTGTTGCAGCCACGATGCCAGTGAGACTAAATCATCAGGTTTCTAAAAAAGAGCTCATTACACTTCTGATTCCTGACATGCTCACGTTCTTCTGCAGCTTGGTCTTGCTGATGTCCGAGAGGCTGAGGGCGAACAGCGCCTCCCTGGCTCCGACGTACAGCATGTCGTCCTCCTGGCTGAGCAGCAGAGAGGTGTAATTGAAGACGCCGTCCGCAGAAAATCTCTTGGCCGACCTTTCCTTTGCGTCTGGAAAGCAGCAGGGAAATAAACACGTTGAGAAATTATCACCGTGTCGCAGGACAGACAGGAACAGACTGGTGTACAACATTTCCTGGTACTTAAAATATGTCTTAGAAGCAGATAAAAATTTTGTCAGGGCTTCTGCTTCCTAAAACTATAAATGATTTCCTTTTTCACAGTACAAGGATTTGAAGTAGTGCCTGTTCACCTCTTTCTCAGGACAGAATAACCGATTTAACTGTGATGCAACATGTGCAGTCTGCAACACAAACTAATGAAAAAACAACCACTCATGCTAAAAGGGATGAAACTAATTTAATGAAGTAAAACATAGTGTTGATTACTAGAAGAGCTTCACGATTAATCAAAAAAGGTCACAATCTGGATTCACACCCATTTACAATCTCATTTCTAACTGACGATGATTCTGCTGCATTTGAATTTGGGAATGAAACCTGAACCAAAATGAGATGCTCCAACTTTCTCCCAAACAATCTACAACAGCCCTGAATGCTGCTTTATCTTTGTTTTCTCCCTCAACCAATTACTTTGAGAGAAAAGTGAAGAATAGTTTGTATATATAATATATATATGATATATATTTAAAAACAAAAAATGTTTGAAATGTTTGAAGGAAACTCCCTCAGATACTGGAAGTGATCCGTGATCTATTCTATTCTAATCAAGGAATTCTTCATTTTCTTTCACAAGGTGCAGCGTTTTTGTGACTCTTCTGTGAATGTCTTGAAAATAGAGCAGAGATCTTGATGAAAATCAGGCTTATTTAAAGGACTGAAATCTCTAAGTGTGTGTAATTTGGTGTGGCTTAAGTGAATTTGGGCCTTGGTGGAGGTATGCGCTGCTAAAAGACCTTCTAGTTCACACTTGTTTCTCCTACTTTCACATTCATTCAGAAAGTTAGTAATCACGCTAATAACTGAACCACAAAGGACACGTTTAATTTCTTAAGTAACATGATCTAATCCCTCCCAAAGTTTTTGGAGATGGATAAAAGTGTTTTGTTCTGACGCTTTGGCTTCACTTCATATTCACGTGCAGTCTATGATCTAACCTCAAAACCACCAATGAATAATAATAATAACAGGTTTATTTGTACAGCACTTATCTAAACAAGGTTACAAAGTGCTTCACAAAAATCAATGAATGCAAAAGATGAATGAAGTCAAATAAAAAGGTATCCCGAATGTCACAAATCTCCATAACATGACCTCTGTCCTTTGTGAAGGTTTCTGTCAGAGCTTCAGAGTGAGGCACTCATCCAGCTGGACACAGAACAAGTGGACAGACATGACACGACTGCACATCACGAACTGCTGCGCTTCAGTCAAACACGTTTATGAAACACAGCTCTCCCTGAGCATGTTGTCATGTCTGTATCTCTCACTCCCGTTGATCCCTGGTGCACAGTAGCACCATGAGAACATGTCATATGACCACGTCCACACTTTCCTGCACTGGCCCGCGTTGTCTTTGCTCTGCTCAGCACCGGCAGCAGCATGAGAGCTTTATCAACATGTCCTCTGCTGCTTGTCAACCCTCTTCACATGGATCTTTTTAGCACTGGGCTCTAAGTCCAGTGAGTTACTTTCCCCCTCTCATCGCTCCTTCCCCTGCAGCCTCTACGAAGCCCAGATTCAGTGTATACATTCCTCTTTTTACAACAGTTCCTTAAGCTTTGCAATCTACTCCACAGCTTTTAGCTTTTCACTGTGAAAGTGAAGTTTGTGAGAGTTGATGTTTGGAGCCTGTTTTTTGTAAGCAGCATGAGGTCTGACAGCTGGTCACTTTTTAGTTTGACTCACTGGACGGATAAACTGCTTAAAAACAGCTCGTTTAAAGGCCAACACAAGCCCTAAGAAATCCTGGGAAACGGTTTATAAACTGTCGGACCTTCAAACTTTGTGACCGAGCCGCATCGAGGCTGAGGGAGACGTTATCGCTTGATATTGCTCACTAAAGACACAGGACACGGTACTGGCAATCAAATACTTGGGAATCCAATTCTTATGTGCTTCAAACTATGCTGTTTTTTGACCATATTTGTAAATGTTTATCTGTGGCCTCCCATTCCAAACATATTAAACACACTCCATGTTTTTTCCCCCGAGCCAAAACGCTGGGGGTCACGGTCTCCATTTGCTAGTCCAAATAAGTGGCTTGTATCTGGGGTTGTAAACACTAATATTTGCTGCAGTTAAAACCATTTACAGCCTGTCTCCCCCTCCACCCCTCTGTGTATAACCAGAAAACTGAATTTGAAAGAGACAAATGCATTTATCTCCGACACTCCAGGTGGTGCGTTGGACCGTAATGCAAATGGAACAGCAATAAATGTTTACAACCCACAACTTAAACTTTTCAATATGCTTGCAAACAAATGGCTCATCTAACGCTTGGGGCACTTTGGCACGATGATCGTCTTCCCCTCATGGGAGCGAAAGCCAGCTGCACGAGCTCCATCTCATCCAAAAATCAAATCTTAGCCTCTCTCCAGATCAACAGCCCTCATTCAGCTCAAAAACGTGGTGACATCTGGAGTCAATGAAGAGAAGGGGCCTGTCATTAAAATCAAGGGGAGGGGAGTACGGAATAGAAAGAGACTTCCTATTGTCATTCTCGGCTCGTTCAGGACAGGAGGGAGAAATACGAGTTCTCCCAATGTGGAGGAAAACTTGCTTTATTTCAAGGTAAATTAAGACTGTTAAAAATGTGCTAAATGCTCATAAAGAGAGATGCTCTCAGTCCCAGTGGACCCTGCAGTTGGCAGACAAAGGAGAGCCATCTCACTGCTCAACAGGGGGACATATCATAGCTCCACTGTCACGGCTCCCCTGGGCTTTGGCTATTCACTGGAACCAAAAACAGCCTTCCCTGGGCATATTAAAACTCTCTGACATAAATCACAGTGACATCCTGTTAGACAGACAATGAAATAACGAGCAGAGGCGAGCTAAGCCATGAAACTTTTAGTCCGAGAACAGGCTGGTTGGCGGGAGGGGTGGGAGTGTTGACCGGAGAGAGGGGACTTCAGGTCGGGTTGTGAGAGGGGGAGTTGTTGTAATCAGGAAGACAGGATTGAGATGTTGACCTATGTAGAAACATGGAGACAGTCTGGGGAAGAACATTTATTTTCAAACTACTCTGAGATGTTGTTGTGATAAGAGCGGAAGGTCGAGCAGGAACAAATGGCAGTGCTGTGTCAAGATGCAGCGATTTCAAACAGACACTCAAAGCTTTCTCCTCATTTTCCAACCATGGAGTCACGGAGCCTCAGAAGACTTTCTTTTCCTGTACTTTCAGACAATCTCTCTATACCTGCTGCATTAGGCTCCATATTCTGAGTGTGCTCTGACCGACGTCTCTGATGCAGCAGGTCACTTGTGCGTTTTGACACCCGTGCAGCAGAATGCCGGGCAGCCACAGAGAGCGGCAGCAACCGCCGTACCCTTTCACAGCCAGGCCCAAGGTCCATTCATCAACCCCGCTGTTTAATCAGCTAGCTGTCACCAAGCAGAGACCCTCAACCTCTGCTAATGCTCATCACATCACAACTAAACCATCAGTATGGCTGCTTTATTGTTGCTGCTAATGTTCTGAATAAGCACAGAGTCCAACTGAGTACATTTGGCTCGATTCTCTGTGGTTATGAAAGGCTGCACACTGCAGGAGAGGCCGAAAAAGAAATTGGTTTAAATCTGGAAGAGTTAAAAAAAAAAAGCCCCATTTGAAGACAGTTTCCAGCTGCAGGAAGAGAGACGCCTGAATATCTTTTCTCCAGCGGCAGATAAAACCTCTCAGTAATTAATTAGGTGAAATTAAATTTTGGCAGTATGTTCATTGTATTCAATGAATCTCTCCCTCTTTTTCTTTTTTAATCAGTGGAGGTAATGACGGCAGAAACAAATTACATCAGGATTTGAGAGCAGCTGCTCTGTGATCACACAAACTTTTTTACTTTACAGAGAGAGAAGATCACTCACACACAACGAAGAGCTACAAACGTCTTGAATTAAAACTGATACACACAAGGTGAAGTGTCTCATCTGTGCCAGGAAATGGTGGAAAATCCCCACTTTTGCATAAATTCAGTTATTGTCAGAATCCCCTTCCATATGTAAAACATCTTAACATGTACACTAGGTTCTAGTGCCACCTCTCATTTTTGATTGGTACCGGGTCATAAACCGAACCTGCGGCCCCGTCCGGATCCGTATAAGGTGACCACTCGCTCAGCTGGTCGAGCTAGCGCCAACAAAATTATTGAATTCTGTATTATCTGCAAAATGCATCACCTCAAATAGGTGGTTTCCTTCTGTCAGTTGAGGTATTTTGCAAAACAACAATCCACACAACAAATAGGCTTAAATACTATGTCTGCATACATAATAAGTAAAACTGTTTTCTTTAGCTCTTATCGGAACAAGGTTACAAAGTGCTTTACAAATTACAACGGAATAAAACGATGCAGAACAAAACAAGTCAAAAGAAAATATTAAAACAAAAAACATCTTTTCCAATCAGCATTTGTGTCCAGTAGGAATGAATACCATCAGCAGTGACCACAGGGTAAAAAACCACAGACCTTTGTCTTGTCCGGCACCAAACACAGTGATAAAAACATGACACCCAGGTGAACAGGCTGATTTGGCAAAACAGCAATGTGAGAGAGCACCTCTGAGTATTTGTGACGCCGAACTTGATGAACCAGGGAAACATCTTCACTGGCAATTGGAGAGGAGCCGGCAAGTTTACCCACATTTTAAAAAAAAAAAGTTTTGCCCATTAATTTTGGTGTAAGAACGGTATGAGGAACTACCAGAAAGTTGGTGCAAAAATCTTTCCAAAAATGTTCCTTTAACAGAACGGTCTTTTAACAGAAAGACCTTGAGATAAATGTAAGCATTTCTATAATGTAGTAGACGTGTTCATGTATAAATGATCTCTTGTATATCCTCACATCTTCTTGAATTTTAGAATAAAATGCA